AAAGCACAGCAGTGTGAACATCTGGTCTGCGCATCCGCGCCCAGCTCGGAATCCGACTTGTTTGGGCCTCATCCTGCAGTCACACACACGATGGAATCGCCTGAGAAGGACAACAGCGAAGACCTTCACATCAGCTTCGATTAGGCTAATGCCACGGTAGTTCTCGCGCTTCGTCTTGTCTCCCTTCCTGAAGACAGGCACAAGGATGCCCAAGGACCAGCCGTCAAAAACGACCTCATCTACCCACGCTTAGCCAATAATATCATCGAGCCAGGGTGCCAGAGTGTTGACACAAGACTTGTAGATTTTGGTGGGAATACCATCCCCCCTGGGAACCTCGCTGTTGCACGGCCTTTGTATCACATCAGCGACTTTCTCAGAAATGGACAACTGGACCTAGCATATTCTGGAGGGGGATAAAACTCCGCTGCATGGGGAGGGCGAGGGTGTGGTGGGCTGGTCATGGAAGTTGAGAAGCTGTTCGAAATGCTCACATCAGCAATTGACCTTGGCCGAGTTCTCAGCAATAAAGCCTCAATTCATATCGCGGACGGTCACTAAGAGTCTAGGTCGGTGGGTTAGTCGAAGAATTTTCTCAGTCGTACCATAAACTAATCACTTCAATGGTGACTATTGGCTACCACCCTTTGTCGTCGGCTCAGATCGTAAAGGGCAACCGGATTTCTGGGCTCAGAGCCTCGGTGGTGCTGGATTGTCGAAGCTTTGCAATATCAAGATGTCGTCTACGTGGAAATTTGGGTGCAGATGAGAGATGAACTTAAAGGCGTGTGCAAACGAGAACATGGTCCCACCCATGGGGTTTACCAGTTCCGGCACCACGCATTGATCTACTATCATGAATCCAGCTGAGTAACCTTGAACCAGCCCGAATGTAAGCGATCTGACTGTCCGTATGACCGTAGCTTTACTAGCAAATCAGCAAATGTTAGCTGTGATGCTGGAGGCCCGTGTTGGTGACAAGTAGTATATCCTGATCAACTTGCTTATTTCGCAGCTAACCTCCACCGAAAGCCGTTCTACTCTTCGCCACATGTGGACGCAGCAAGTAGCCAGCAACTAGGCTGTTGGGTAACCTGCCTTCCCGGATTGCCGTCTGGCCCTGACTGCCACCATTTGGGTGGCTTTAGAAATGGTTGGTACAATTTTTGCTGCTGTCTGCTATGTCTGCCTGTCTTATACGAGTGTTTGCCAGGTCTCTTCGATTGAGGATGTCCCTACGATGCTCTCTTAACGTCATTCCAGCTCCCCTCTCCTGCGAGAGCCTACGCAATAGTCACTGCGACGGGCACTCACCAGTCATATTTGTAAAGTGGACCTGTTTTAACAGGATAAAGATCCTTAGCACGTCAGCGAACCCCAGGGATCCGTTTTCGTCTTTTCACTCTTAATATCCCTTATAGACCGTGTAGGTGGAGGTTGTTCAAGTTTCTGTTTGGATTCGGTATCTTATTCAGGCCTCCCAACGATAGAGGAACGTTGTCAGGATGAAAAAAATTGTACATTTAGAGTTTCGTGTTGAGGGGGATTAAACGACAATTGCTGACTGGGTGTCATTGCCTTGAAAACATCTTACTGGCCTCCAAGCTCTGGGGTGCAGTCATTTGTCGAATTTGATGGTCCCTCTCAGGTAAGAGGATGGGTTCACCACTGCGAGGCGAGTGCCACTCACGGTTACCATGGGTTCAGCGAATTCGACAGTACATATCAATGCGTGCATACTAGCCGTCTTTCAGGTGTCGATAGTTAATCCAAAGTCGGGGCATTCGGTGACGATAAAACCCATTTTGTTGCATACCTGATTCAATCGTGGTAGTCACTGCATAGTCATAGGCGAAGAGATTAATGCATCCTGGCCATAAACATCCTTATGACAGCCTATACAAGACTTGTATATCCTAGGTTACGCACTGAACTGCATAAGCAGGGGTCGTTTCTTATCTTATTCTCAGATGCCCTGTTTGCCAAAAATGAGGACGAGTTTTTCCAATAGCATAACAGGTAACTAACCGACGCATCCAAAACGTGCAAAGGTTGGCTGAAAAAAAAGAAGTTTGAACATTCATCTAGCATTGGCGTCCAAAAGGCATCGTATAAGACGCAGCAATTACATTGCTGCAAAGATCCTTGTCATTGTCATCTTCAAGTTTCAGGGTGTGCGTACTTCAAGGACAAAGTCAATTAAATCGGGTTCCGAAATGGACGTAGACACACCGATCAAGTATCCACACTGTGGCACATTCTTAAATTCAATAGCGGCTAACGGCAATCGATTAGCGCTTATCTTGCCGACTGCCCTGCGTTCGATTCTGTTCATTGCGAGTTCCATGACAAATAACGAAGCAAAAGGATGGGCCGGCAAAAATCACCTCCGCAAGGAGGACTCGCTATCATCTCATCACCGTTCAAGTCCTTTTCCCCTAATAATCCTTCTCAGAAGGGTTCTGCATGGTTTTGATGATGTTTCACTTGTAACCGAGCGCCGACTGACTAATCATGGCTAAGCTGGCGATAGCATCATGCTAGCATCAAGTGTTGGTGACCTACAATGTGATGTCGGATGTGAATAAAGTTTATAAGTCGGTCGATTTATCCATAAACCTTGGGAAAAACGAAGCGCGAGCTGCACTCCTGAACAGAAGAACGCGCCCTCCTGGTACGTCCCTCAATATCTGCCCCATGAGTTTAATATTGTTGCCCACCTGGGAGGCGTTGAAGAGGTCAATCGAAAACTTGCCATGACACAGTCAATCGAGACGTTCGGGTGGTTCTTAAACCTTTGGTGATCGGTCTTTGTTGCTGAGGGGATTGTGCGCAACCATTTAAATCCGCTGCCACAGAACGTCACGCTGAGATATACAATCCGCGACGTCATGTGACTGGCCTAATCATACACGATCACAGTCATGCAAGGTACTGGCATAAAGTACAAAAACGAGTCCCGGGCCCAACTGTTAAACAGGTGGCGTCCAAACAGTCACTAGTCCTTGCAGCCCGTTTATAACGGGGTGTCACCTTAAGGCGACCACCAGGTCGAATATAAGCACGCGCAGTTTCGAATGCACAGCAGATCGATCACGACGTGGCCTGCCAATAAAAAACAAACAGCACGAGTCGGGCAAACAGGTGGGTGCAAACATGCAAAACTGCGCGGAACTATCAGGACGGAACACGCCAATAATCAGTCTAGTTATCAAGGAGGGCAAAACTCGATCTGTAACACGGCTTGCACATTCATAAGTAGATGGCAATATTCAGTCGCTTCCTTTTGCAGGCTGTTCCATAGATCTGAGTCATACTGAGAAGAATGGGATTTACTAGGATGCAATGCCGATTGATTTTATTGCCTTCTACCGCAACCGATCTTAACTCAACCGTTTCTACAGTATGAAAGCACCTGTCCTCCACAACGGCAAGTTTGTTGAGATCAAGTGAAGAAATTCTGGTCGCGTAGTCGTTGTGGACGCAGGGTCCAAGGCCTACAATAAACGGTAAGTCCTCTCATTTGTGTTAACCTTTGGTGACGTTCTATATGCATTTCCTGGCATTATATTCAGTTGATAGATCATGTTGGATAGTATTACGTAATACTATACCCTGTATAGTATACCCTGTACTAGTACTAATTGAAAAGGACACAACAGGTTTATTTCGCGCGGAAAAAAGTGGCCACAAGTCTAATACTAAGAAGTGCATGTATTTTGCTATTGGATTACGGGAAGATATCCGAGACAGAAAATATATGTTTACAAATACAGTATGCATCATTTGAGCACATTGCAGAGGTTGTATTGGGAGAGAAGAGACGATATGCATGATTACTTACTCGTGTTAGTCTGGATTGATAACCACAATTGCCTGAAGAATGGTGACACAAATGCCACTTGGGAAAATTAAGACACCCCAACGACCGGTGCGAGTAACAGGTTAACAAGCTCTATTTCGGATTTTCCGCTCGAATTTTGATCTAGTAAATCGAGATTATTAATTCTAACTACTTATCCATGCGTTTCCTTATGTAACATTGTGGGTCTGACTATAATCTGTCTTATAATACTTTTATTGACTCTTTCACGGGCTGTCTGATTTAGTTTTCGCCGATCTGCAGAAATAAGGGTGTTGAACGCTCCTTCAACGGTCTGGCCATGGGTCCCACCAGGATGCTGTTCAGTGGGTTGTTAGTATCTTCACATACAAAAAACTTGGCTGATTAAAAGTTTCTTTGTTTGTTTTCCCCATCCAGTTTTCAGGTGGCTATTGGTCGGAGTTTCGGTATCCGTAGCTGAACCAGACAGACTACAGTGAACAAATTGTCAAAAAGAGCATCCTTCTGGCTTCTAAAAACACAGTCAGCGCGTTAATGCCAAAGAAAAAGTAACGAGGAACCCGAGGATCGATTTAAATAGGCGAGAATTTTGTGTTAGGACAGATCTTCTCAACGGTGTTTTGTTAACGCTGCCCTGCCAGCACTTGGCCCCCTCTTGAAACGGGGCCAAGAAGGGGCTATGAGGGGGCCAGCCCCCTCGAAGTTTTCTCATCGGTAATGCAGCATTAACAGGCATTACTCCGTGAATAAGCGTGCATTTTTCGGTTTAAATATATTTTTTTAATAGCAAAAAGTGCTTTTGGACCTCGGTAGTTGTGCTTTTTACATATCTGGGCAATCCTGATATAAAGCTGTTAATTGTTTAAGTGTGTCACTTTGCGGCACTTATCTCTCACGTGAGCTGCGTTCCTCTCGTCGTGAGTTCTAATACTGTCTACTGTGGTATACGTGCATACGTTACTGTGGTATGTTACGAACTGTGCTTTTGCTGGCTTTTATGATATTTTGTTACTTTTGACCTGTAAATTTGTATTATCATTGAATAATTGCCTGTTGATTTAAGCGATATCAATGAGATATCCGTTCTAGCAGAGTCATCTGAAAAGCTGCACTTTGGGCCTTTGTTTATCATTTTTGTCATTGACATTAAGTAGAAATGAAGCGTAAATATTTTGGAATCAACCGGAGTACTGTCTATAAGCGAATCCAGTGCCTAAAGAGGGCCTACTATGCCGCAACGGAGGCTGCCCAACCGGTTAATGTTCCATCGGCGTCTACTTTGCCAAGCGACTTTCCTGAATTAGAAATGCCAGAATTAACGGCTGAGGGTTACACTGGTAGGTTTTTCCATCGATGTAGAATATTAGTGGGTGTAGATTTTGCAGGCAGTGAAGAGCATGTGACGGAAAAGGAGGGGGGCCATGAGGGGGCCAGAGGGGGCTGGTGCTGGCAGGGTGTTGAATGGCATTTGCCCAACAATATCCTGCCAATGTACTCTGCCAGAAAATGCAACTTATAGTAAGTTTAAACAATTGGCACCACATAGAGCTGTTAGATCAAGCATGAATACAGTCCTAGCAGGTACTTATGAGCAATACACTGGCGGTCCCCACCAAAAACATAGGCTGATTTGGTGGATAATAATGCTTCGCCTCATCCTGGGCACACGGCTCTCAAATTTGGTCCCAAGAAACTGTACTGAACAGGGTGACCATAACGCGGTACCTCTCTTTGTCTGACGGAATAAACAAAGTGGAGGTCGGGGTGTGCGTGTATTTCCATACCCAGTAATCCCTGGAAGAATTTTCTTCCTCCCCTCACCCATCGCTGCATAGACACTTCTTCCGTAGATGCAGGCGTGCAATCCCGTAGGCGATCCCTGTCATGTTACTGCATCATCCAGCTGAAACAAAATTGTGGGCCACAGTAGAATTCGGCAGCTCCGTGCAGGGGGAACTGTCTACTCCTTTGTGGTGGAGGAATAAGAAATAATAAGACTAAATAATGCTGACAGTCGATAAACTGAGAAAATGAGAGAATTCTGAGAACATGACAGATCCCACTATCGAAAATATTGTGTTTCGAGAAGAAGCGATTTTGGAAGAACTGAAAAGCTTGAAGGAATGTAAATCGCCCAGTCCGGACGAGATCACAGCAAAGCTGCTCTTTGACCTTGCCGAAGAGCTGGCCAAGCCACTATCCTTTCTGTGTCAGAAATCGTTTGATGCTGGAATTCTTCCCACAGACTGGAAGACGGCCCACATTACACCCCTTTACAAAAGCGGTAGTCGTGCTCTGGCGACAAACTACAGACCCGTCAGTCTGACATCAATCTGCTGCAAAGTGATGGAGAAAACCATCAAAAAGGAGTTGATGGCTTACTTGGAAACCCACAACCTCTTGTCTAATGCACAATATGGTTTCCGTAGGGGAAGATCATGTGTTGAGAACTTGCTATACACAATGCAAAATTGGACACGAGCACTGGACGCAAAACACACCGTGCATGTTGCATATATTGATTTCCGGAAGGCGTTTGACAGTGTTCCGCACCAGCGTCTCCTACACAAGTTGAGAATTATGGGCATCGGTGGCAAACTTCTCAAATGGATCGAAAATTTCCTTGTCGGCCGCTCCCAAATTGTCTGCGTAGAACAACAGCAATCAAGGTGCACATTCATAGAGAGTGGGGTCCCACAAGGCTCGGTGCTCGGACCAACCCTCTTTCTCTTGTTCATCAATGATTGTGTAGATGGGTTGGACTGTGATTGCGCCATGTTTGCAGACGACATAAAAATCTGGAAAGTCATCCAGAATGCTGCCGATGAAACCAACTTTCAAGAAAATCTTTGTCGGTTGGACGAGTGGTCCCGCAGATGGCTCTTGTCCTTCAATTTGAACAAATGCATCATTCTGCGCCTCGGAAATCAGACCCCTAGTACGCGGCAATACCACCTGAACGGAATGCCACTCCGAGAAGCAGAAACTCAGAAAGATCTCGGAGTTTGGGTTGCAGACAGCCTAAAGCCTTCTACACAATGCTGTAAGGCGGCCAAGGCTGCAACCTCAATGCTATATGCCATCAAGCGGGCATTCGTAGTTTTCGCTAAAGACTGCTTCACAAAAGTCTTCGGCACGTTTATAAGGCCCCATCTCGAATATGCAATTCAGGCCTGGAGACTGTGGTGGCATCAGGATTACGATCTGCTCGAAAGGGTGCAGAGGCGAGCAACAAAATTAATAAGAGGTCAAAGTGCACTGCCATACGAGATCCGCTTAACTAACCTTAATCTCTATCCTCTGAGTTATAGGCAGTTGCGCGGAGACATGATACAAACTTTCCGTATCGTGCGCGGCTTGGATTGTGCCCTTCGGCGCGATGACTTTTTCCAACTCGCCACTACAACTCACCTCCGTGGACATCCCTTCAAGCTACGTGTGCCACAGGGTAGACGGAATGTGAGAAAATATTTCTTCTCCAACCGTGTCGTGGAACCGTGGAATAACCTGCCCGAGACGGTTGTTATGTCTCAATCTGTGGAGGCATTTAAATGTCGCCTTGACAGATATATGCTGCAGCAACAAGCGGACTATGTGACTTTTTAGCCATGTAACTAGTGGCATATGTGAATCAATGTATGCATTCACTTAATGCTGTAATTTCTTCACATTTTTGCTGGCTTATCGATTTTTTTTGTACAAATAGGGAGTTCAAAGGCGTAAGCCTATTTCCTTCAAATACACTGACTGACTGAAACTTGTCACATCTTGGGGATGCAAAATATGCGATTGAAGGACAGTGCGAAACGAATACTATCGTAACCCTCCCCGTGCCTCCTACCTGCTGCCTCTCAACTTCTCGAGTGGATGATGTCTTATGTGACGCACAGTGTGCGGTCTCGGAAGAATGCACGGTGATAAATTGAGTGAAACCGAGATCCGCACGCGCTATAAAACTCTTCATCCTGATTTTAATCTTCGTGCTGACAAAACCTACTTCAAAAAGCGACCGGAAATTAGCATCAACTATCTAGCCGGTAGACAACTGCACGAACTCTGACGTGCGAAAGCCTCTACGAAACCACACAATTTCGGTGTCTAAGACCTCTTGTCCGCGAATAGTTGCACGCTGAAAAATTCTTGCAAATAAATAGCGTGGCTAGGCTGACGTGAACGCTGTAAGCCTCCTCTGTTTCGCTGATCGTCGACACTCTGCAGACTTCCACTCTGGCCACCGCGATTTCGAGCCCAACTCCCCAGTCGTTGATTGCTGCGGATCCTGATGTCAACTCCTCATTGCGACCCCAAGTGGTCCGCTGGTCTGACTCCTCTGCTTTCGCCATTTGCTAGTAGTTTGGTCGGTCAGCAAAAAGGCCTAAGTGTCGCACTCTTCCCTCTACGCACTGATGTCCCACCCTCAGCTGGACTCTAAGCGGACTGTGTCCGATCGCGTCTGGGTTCCTCTGTCTTGCCACTCCGGGGTGGATAATCTATTTCGGGTTACGAAGCCCTGCCTTGACGATTAACGTTTTGAATCCCTTATAAAATTCCATATGCAGGCCAGTCCCGTCCGACCCGCATATTTAACCTTTCATGAGGGGCAGTTTTTTCCCCTTAAAAACTAACCAATCCATATGCCCTCTGTCTTTTTCAAAAGGAGTTTTTTCACTGCTCGCTGACCGTTTTTAACATCGGACTGTTTATTCTAGAACCGTGAACCGAATAATATACAGAATCTGGCTGCTTGTTTCAACAGTTGCCTGGAAAATTGTGTTAACTTGCCATGACAGGACACTCAAGGGTCTTTTGATAAAATTAATTATTAATTAATTACAAGACGACGAATTAGCTCGCGAATAACGGAGCATAAACAGGCAGTCCGGAGAGACAACCCGTTGTCTCAGGTCGCCACTCATACCCTGGAGGAAGGCCACGAATTCAGCTTCGCGAGCGCGCGGATAGTATCGCGGGTCAGCAATAAGACAGGACGAGAACTGTTAGAGGCCTGGGTGACTGACACCAACTCTATCGACAGGCACGTTGACATACTCCCCTGCTATCACGCGCTCCGTTCCAGCGGCCAAGAGGCGAGACCCAATTTTCTACCAAGGGTGCACGCAGTCACGCCACCGTCAGACGGCGTGGGACTCAACTTATCGCGAATACCACCCTCTGCACTCATATCTTTCCCCCTTTTCTACGTGGCTTGACTACAAAAACCGCTCATTTTATGTCGCATTCTCACAGTCTCGGACGATGGTCTCCTGTAAGAGACCGAAAGCTCAGACTAATACACCTACTGTCCCAGAGGTCGCGTGTTCATCTTCTTTACAGTATGAACTTCAGTAGGGTCAGGTTTAGTCGCCTTACTTACCTTTCCTGTAGCGACTTAAGTCTTAGTGTCAGCAACAGTTTCTGCGTTAGTGACAGTTGCAGTAGTATTTCCCATAGTATGTTTACCGGCAGTCGTACTAAAAGTCGCTTGGCTTTGTGTTAATGAATACAGTAGTTGTAGCGGCACTACTTTTAGTACTGACAGTTGCCGTATGCAGTACTGATAGCGGCATTTATCCGAGCAGTCTTACTGATACGTCATCGTGCGACAACTGCCCTCTCTGTCGCAGGACATCAACGACCGTCTGATAAGCCTCCGTCTGCCTCTCCGTAGAGGCAAATTCACCACCATTATCAGCGTGTACGCTCTCCCGATAACTGGCCCAGATGCCGCAGTGATGAATTCTACGAAGATCCAAGGTAAGCGACCCCCAGGTAAACTGAATATTGCCTTGTTGTCTTTGCCTGCTCATCACGTCCATTTCAGCAACCAACTAGCTCAAAGGATAGAAAACCTCCCTGTTGCTTCCTCCACCGCTGGCGAGAACGCCTCCGTGGAGAACCGATGGTGTCAACTGCGGGACACATTGCAATAGACGGTGCTGGCCGTCCTCCGTCGTGCAGACCGCCAACACCAAAGCTGATGTGAAGGCAACGACGACGCCATCAGTAAACTGCTCGCTGAGAAGAACCGCCTGCACAAAGCCTACGTCGACCGCCCCACCGAGGACAACTGGGCTGCCTTCTACCGTAGTCGTCGCCTCGTTCAACAGCCACTGCGTGAGATGCAGGACGACTGGACGGCTCGCAAGGCCGAGGAGATCCAAGGGTACGCGGACCGCAACGAATGTAAGAACTCAGCGATCAAAGCCGTCTGCGGTCCGCCAACTAAAGCAACTGCTCCTCTGCTCAGCGCCGACGGCAGTACCCCACCCACCGAGAAGATACGTGTTCTACAGCAATTGGCCGAGAACTTCAGAGGCGCCCTCAACCACCCTTTCACCATCTCCGACGCCGCCATCGCCCGTCTGCCTCAAGTGAAGACCTACTCTGACCTCGACCTCCCGTCTTATCTCCACAAAACCATAAAGGCCATGCAGCCGCCCTCCAGCCGGAAAGCGCCCGGATCGGACGCGATGCCTGCTGAGGTCTACAGACCCGGCGGCCCCCGAATCACCTGACTGCACTTTTCCAGGAGATGTGGCGTCAAGGAGAAGTCCCGCAGGATTTCAAAGACGCCACAATCGTTCATATATACAAGCGGAAAGGCAACCGCCAGCTGTGCGACAATCACCGAGGCATCTCTTTGTTGGATATTGGCGGGAAAATCTTTGCTCGTATCCTCCTCAACAGCCTGAATAATCACCTAGAGCAGGGTCGTCTGCCGGAAACCCAGTGCGGCTTCCGACGTCATCGCGGTACCACGGACACGATCTTCGCCGATCGTCGACTTCAGGAGAAGTGTCAGGAAATGCCGGCCCACCTGTACTCTAGCTTCCTGGATCTGACGAAAGCCTCCGACACCGTGAATCTTGGTGGACTTTGGAAAATCATGCAGAAATTCGACTGTCTCGAACGATTCACTCAGATGGTGCGTCAGCTCCACGACGGCATGATGGCGCGAATTACAGACAACGGGGCTGTCGCAGAGGCATTCGCAGTGACCAACGGAGTGAGGTAAGAAGGACGGCCACTTCCTAAATAAACGGTGGATGCACTTCCAATCGCGCGTATCCACAACCACCGTTCACGAACTTCTCTTCGTCCACGACTGCGCCTTCAACATCACCTCGGAAGAGGACATGCAAAGAGGCATGGGCCTCTTCTCCGCCGCCTACGAGAACTTCTGTCTGGTCATCAACACGGAGAAGACGGTGGTCGTGCACCAACCACCACCGGATACGGCCCCTCCGCACAATGTGCCGCAGATCAGTGTGAACGAACCCAACTGCAAGTGGTGGACAACTTCCCGTTTCTGGGCAGTACCCTTTCCCGCAGCACGAAAATCGATGACGAGGTTGACATATATAACCCCGATATAATTTGCATCCCAGAAACATGGGCAAATGAACCTATATCGAATGCCTCGCTATATATTCCAAATTATAACTTCTATCGACAGGACCGTGTTAGTAAACGAGGCGGAGGTTGTCTTATCTACATCAAAATTAACATTGAACAAAGTGATATTGATGTCCCAACCGAAAGCTTTGCTGGAGAAGCCCGTTGGGTCATAATAAAGTCCCATATCCAGCAAAACATACTATTCGGAGGCCTCTACTCAACTCCAGAATGTAGTAATGATGAAACCAAACCCCAACCACTTAGTAAACAACATAGCTAACATTAAAACTGAAGATAAGGTAATCGCAGGCGACCTAAACCGCCCAGAAATAAACTCGATCGAATTATCGGCATCTACCAGGCACGAGGAATTGTTATAGAATAGAATAGGTTTATTGTAGCGCCCCTTGGGCACTGTCAGTCCCCTTTGAACTCAGGAAAAAAAAAACCTAAAACCAACTCGTCAATTTCAACTGCACTTTGACTTCATTTGCTTCGGGTGTCTGGCTAGCCAAAAGAGCGCGAATTGAGAGTTTGTTTTAAGTTAAAAAAACCTCAGTTCTAAGGGAAAATGATAACAGAATTTTCAAAAAATAACGATATGTACAATATAAAAATTGTAGTTTGCAGTTCGGTAATTTTCGGGGGCATGAATAATATGTCCTAATGGCGATTGAAGAACTTTGATATCGGCCTGACCTTGAAATTATTTTCCTGTTGGTTAAATTTCGGTGTGCTCTAGTTGCTGGTTGTCAGTCTATCTGGCCAGCCGTAAGGGGACGGTCGCACAGTTCCTACGTGTTTTTCAGGAGGCTTACCATCGTTGTCTGGACTAAGAGCTGGAAAAGATGAATATATATCAGGAGCAAGAAGCATTCAACGGTAAGTCACAATCAAAACTGTCAAAATACTATTGAATCATGTATCATATTGTTCTTGTTAATGTGAAATTATAGGAGTAGTGGTCGACTGTTTACTATGACCTAATATAGCTCTATATATATTTAATATGGCCTTAATATAGACATACACAAGACTAATATGCAGGGTTTTATCGAAGGGTATATTTTTATTAACTTTATAAGGGATATTTAGTGTCAGGTGACATAGCTGATGAAAACGAGAAAGGGAGGAAAAATAAGAATATCATTATCTGTTCTATGTTTATCAATGATGCTATCTTTTATAAATTTGATTATTTTTAGTGCTATGTTCCGGTATTTTTCAATCGGCTGGCATCATCAGAGCCCTTTTGGACCAAATTCAATATCAAAGAATTGACTTGAAAAATGCCCTATCTTATTCAAAAATAAATGTGTATTGTTATTTGAAAGGAGTTTCTTAGTTTAGTTATCTCCAGTTATCTTTAATAACTGGACACAAATAGTAGAGAAATCCACCCGAGGAAACAATATACTAGACGTTATTTTCACAACGATATCTAGCCCCTCTATATGCACTAGGACTGCGTAACCTTTAAAAGTGACCACAAACCCATAAAATCAACAATCCCCTTAAATGCAAAACTAGCACCCCATTTTAGTAACATCCGCCTAAACCCAAAAACTTGGCAAAGACTCCATGAATAACTATATTAGGTTATTGGACTGGAGCCCATATCTTCTAACAACAACCCCTATGGAATCACTTAAGCTATTGTACTCTGCCCTATTTCTAATTCGAGATACCTTGATAGACGAAAGGCTCCCGTACAGGAAATCACTAATCCCACACTTCCTTTCAACGTCACTAAAAAACAGCTACACAACACCTCGTTAAGTTATTTATCCATACTTCGACGAATTAGGGATATTCATGACCTAGTTACGAAAATAGAAACACGAAAGACCATAGCAACAGAACATCAGACATTAGAATCCCCTGAACAAACAGCTCAGATGTTTCAGAAACAAATGAGCAATCATCGACAGTCAGGACCACGAAATGATGAATCAGGACAAGTTATGATAAATGACAACCGAATAGCAAACTCATTCAACAAATACTTCTCAACTAACTATATAGTCGAGGAGGGAGCGACACCCCAACTTACCGAAATGACAAAACGCATCCTTAGTGACATCCGTTTTAGTGGAGAAACCGTTAAAGTAGCCATCAAACAATTATCCAACGCCAACTCCTAAGGGACGGACAAAATCCCACCATGTATTCTGAAGCATATGACATATGCTTCAATACTCCTATCTAAGTTATTCACCCTACTCCAGTCAAATGCAATTTTTCCGGACATGTGGAAATACTCGACCATTGCACCTATCTTTAAAAGCGGCAACCGATCTCATACCCAAAACTATCGTGGTGTTCACCGAACACCGGCTATAGCTAAAATCCTCGAGAAAATAATCTACGACCAATTGCTAAACCATCTCATAAACGTCAACCTCATTCCCCTCTCAACATACATTTTTTACCTTAGAAGTCATGCCAGTTCTGCTATCTTACTTTTTTAGAATTCGTTTCCAGCAATAGAGATTATGCAAACACAGAGGCTTCAATAAACTTCGATCTAAAAAAGGCCTTTGACAAAGTCTCCCATAAAAGACTATTGATAAAGTTAAGAAGTCATGGAATCAGGCCACCCGTTCTCGATTTTCTTAAATCTTACCTTCAAAACCGATAGCAAGTGGTGCAAATTCGTAACGTAGTCTGAGAACTATCCCCTATTACCAGTGGAGTACTTCAAGGCACTATCCTAGGTCCCCTTTTATTTCTCCTATGCATTCACGACTTATCGTCCATATCACTATCAGCTGAGACGTTTTTGTATGCGGAAGACCTGAAAATTGCATATGCATATAACAGTAATACAGTAGTCAACATTCACAGAGCAGCCGAAGCCGATCTCAGAAAACTCGGTGAATGGAGTAGTCAATGGCGGATGCCCTTTTCACCTGAAAAATGCCATCTCCTGATATTTGGC